CTCTCCTGTGATGTGCGTGGATCCTGCACCCTCCGGCCCCTCTGATTCCATCCTAGGGGGACAATTCGAGGTAGCTACTGGACAGAAGCGGAAGACACCCAGGTCTGGAGAGCCACTAAGGTTCTTACCTTGTGTGCTTCCACTCAAAACCACGTATTCCTTCCCCCTCCGGGTTTGGCTCAATTGATAGAGGTCCCAGGTTCGATTCTGGTCAAGGGCACCCAGGTTGTGGGCTCGATCCCCATTGTGGGGCATGCAGGAGGCAGCCAATCAATGACTCCCTCTCGTCATTGATGTTTCTGTGTCTCCTCTCCCTTCCTCTCTGAAATCAATAAAAAATATATTAAAAAAACAAACAAACATGTATCCCTTTGAGGAACCTACAGTCTAACCTTTCCTGGGGTCCTCCTTTTCACCCGAATCGGCTCTCTCTGTGAATCCCCATCTCATCCGTGGGTGCCCAGCAGCCCTCTCAGTGGAGCCCCACTTCGCCTGTGCCAACCTTCTTGGGGCTCATGAACATAGTGTAATGCTCTGATAAAGAGGGCTCGATGCCTTTGGGGAATTATTAGAGTAGGGAGTAGTTCTTTTCTAGGAAGATGGGGTGATGGCGGCCGGCCACTGCGCAACCGGCTCCTTGCTCCCAGGCCCAGGTGTCCCCCATACGCCCCGCCCCAGCCCCTCGGATCAATATGTAGGCTCGAATTATGATCCCGGTCAGTGGCTCCCTGCTCTCTCTCTTTTCCCCCTCTGGACTCTTAGTTTAATCTGTTAACTTCTGTTCTTATTTCACTTTGCAGACTATTTGCCGATTTCACAAGACATAATTTTTATCAACTAGCTCTTAAGAGAGGCATAACAAATTGGGGTTTGCTACCAATGCTAGAGAGAGGACCCAGTCCCGCCGGGGCCAGCCCAGCTGCTGTCAGTGCCCACTGAGCTCTCCTAGCTGCCTGTCTGAATGAATGCTCTTTTGCTCGTTTAATTCATGGAAAAGACTCGTGTCCTCATTGCTTCACACAGTTTTTTAAACGTATTTTATTCTCCGGTCCCTGCCCATTTTGCTTCCTGTATGCACTGTGAACGTCCTCCCCACCTCCCCCACCTGCTGCCTTCCCTAGAATGTAACCGGCCAGAGGGAACTTCTCACAAACTGTAGGCTCATTGGGCATTTCATGGGGTGAGCTTGGAAGTGCTGGTGGGCCACGGGGATGGGTGATGGGTGCCTTGGGGCACCTCTGTCCTGTGTGGACACAAAAAGTGACCACACACACACACACACACACACACACACACACACAGTTCCCTGAATACCAATGTGAGAAACTTAATCTGGAAGAAAAACTGTATTAGCAGGATCTGGTTGTCTGTCTTTGGGCCAGTCCTTCAGCGGCTGCTGCCATGATAATTAGCAACCAGTCTTCCAGGAGGGACAGTGGAGCCCCCGGGGGCTGCCACATCACAGGCACTGTGGGCACCGATCCACACCAGGCCTCCTTCCCCGCACCCCACCCTCACCCCCCGCCCTGCTGGCCCACCGGGGAAGGAGTGGACAGGACTCCGGGGGTGTGTCCTGATCAGCGGCACCCCTGATGGTCACCCCAGA